ACTTTTAGATCTGCTAGGAGAGGCATAGTTACCTCTGGTAAGTGATCAACAACGCTAAACATGAAGACCGTCTTTGTAAGTAAAATAAAATGATATATAATATTAACAACAAAAATACTATAATGTGGTCAGAACAATTCAATTTTTACTTTATAAATACATTTCTAATATTTATATTTATTTTAATTTTTATGATGCATAAAAAATACTAATTAATGATTACTAATGTTTGAAATAGGTTTGTCTGTTTCTGGCTGGAGTAGCTGTGGCCCAGCATGGTCATGGTTGGGCAGGATGGGCCGGTCATGGTCTCGCCGCTCCAGCAGTAGCAGCTTATGGATTGGTCGCTCCAGCAGTCGCCGCCCCCAGTTTAGTCGTCCCAGCAGTCGCTGCCCCCGGACTCATAGCTCCCGCTAGTGCTGCAGGTTCCCTCTATGCTGCCCCCACAGCAGCAGGTTCCCTCTACGCCGCCCCCACAGCAGCTGGTTCCCTCTACGCCGCTCCCTCAGCAGCTGGTTCACTCTACGCCGCCCCAAGTGCTGCCGGATCTGTCTATGCCGCCCCAAGTGCTGCTGGATCTGTCTATGCCGCCCCAAGTGCTGCCGGATCTGTCTATGCCGCCCCATCATCCGCTGGTTCCATCGCTGCAGCACCTAGCTCTGCCGGATCCATCGTAGCTGCCCCATCCTCTGCAGGATCCATTGCTGCCGCTCCATCTTCAGCAGGTTCCATCTCTGTCGCTCCCTCTCATGCTGGTTCTATCGCAGTCGCCCCATCCTCTGCTGGCTCCATCTCCGCAGCTCCATCATACGCAGGCGCAGTCTCCGCAGCAGCTAATGCTGCCGGATCTGTTCTGGCTGGACATGGTGTAGCTGGTCATGGATGGGCTGGACATGGCCACTATTAGAGACTAGGAGCTCATCAAGCAAACTGTAAATAGTGACGACTGATGTATACAAAATAAAGTTGATTTTACCTCATATTTATTTGTTTTCGTTAATCATTTTTATGACTAGTTAATGCAATTATTCAACATATTTCTTTATGGGTGAAAAACGAATAGTTTCCTACACTAATAAAGAGAAAACTGAAAGTGGAAAATAATGAATATAAAAACTAGTGAACGAAAGATATGCCTTGTTCGGTAAAATAGTAAAAATCTTGGATTTAGTGGATCGCAACGCATGAGAGTTCTAGAAGATTGTTTCCTTTGCCTTAAAGTAGATTAAGCATATAGATAAATGATTAAAGCTAGAAATGAAATTTTAATATCCCGGGATCTAAGGGTAAAAAATACATTATGCATTGTACCTACAACAAATATTACGGTATAGAGGTTGCTAGATAATAATACACAATTGTGGTATTAAAATGTCTAATACAAATAAAAATTACTGCCATATGTTTATAACGATTATAGCGGTAAAGAGGTCCGGTTGGTAGAACTCTAGAACCTTGAATGTCGGACATAGTTCTGAGTCACTGCTAATGTAGAAAACTATTTATAATTTCGATCAATCAGCCTCAATTGGGAAACTCAATCTTTCGAAAAAAAATAATGCTAAAATTCTTACTGTACATAGTCTCTAACAGCCATGCATAAGGTGAAGCGGTATTTAATTTATAATGTTATTTAATATTTATTTTTTGTTTCTAATATAGTAGTGAAAAGATACCGAACTACAATATGAACTGGAAGTAATAGCTTGCTGGATGATGCTATATCATTCATAGCATTATTGTTTTTCAATTTTTTTTTATTGACGAGGGAGAGAGAGAGAGAGTGAGTAAATTTGAATTTCTAAATTATATCACGGTTAAAAACAATCTTCAGTTTTACATTGAATAAGTGGGAAAAAACACATTGGGTTGCCTATACAAAGCCAGTCCACATTTGACATTCAAAAGTCATTGGCAGAAAATGAATAACACTTTTTTAGACGAATCCCGACAACGATCTTGTAACCTTATAGTTAGTTGTGATGATGCATTCACTGTCTTATATTTCTTCTTCTAGTCAAATATCAGTAGCTGACAACAGCTTCATCATCGCTCGAAGACGACTTGAACCATCTCCAGCTAAATCTCATCACTTGATTATTACCACGATAAGAACAAACCGAGCATGTCTTTAGATAAATATGATATAATATTGGCGAGATAAAATATGTATCTTGTCGATATGGCGTGAACGCAGCTAAAAATTAGCAAATGAGATATAATAAATCAGGATTGATAGTAATGAATAACGATGACCGAGCCAAACAGCAGTGTTTTGCTGCAAGTCCGAAAAAACTGAATCCCTTTACCCACAATTGATTGACTATAGAATGTTGCTAGTAAAAGTATGATCCATGATTTAAGGGAATGTGAGGACATTTTTTTTTTTTTTTTTTTGTTCTTCCCTACCTCGCCTGTTAGGCTATACGGGGATTTTCCTGGACCAGAGGGTGAGGGCGGAGAATTTAAAATCCCCTCCGGCATCTGGATGCGAACTCATACTTTTTTAATCTTCTCAAATCTCTTATCCGGTTGCCAGGCAACTCAGCGGTGTAGTGCACACGCTTTAGCCCATTCGGTCACCCCGCCCCCTGTTAATGTGAGGACAATATACTCTCATTAATATTATATTCTTATTAAGTGAACATGTTATGTCTACTTAAACAGATTACAGAATTTATCAAAACCTTATCCCATCCCGACAGAATTACATCCGTCACTCCAATACGCTGCCCACCTTTAAATACCACCTATTTAATCACTTCTAGTTCATCCAGTTCCCAAACAATTGTAAATAGCTTTTTCTGTAAATTTGTAAATAAGTTATTAGTTTTTTTAGTAGTTAATCCGGTTATGTTAAAATTTAAGTTATATATATATATATATATATATATATATATATATATTATTAAATATTTCTATTTGCTTATTTTATTATTTATTCTATAACACTCTGGGCCTCTCAAGATCACAATGGTATTGTTATATATTATTCTGAAGGGACTTCTTCCAGAATTAATAAAGCATATTATATTTATTGCTAGATAGATAATAAATAGAAATTGTATTTGTTTTAGGGGAGGGGGAGGGTTCCCCATACAAATAGAGCCTAGCTTGGCTACTGTAGAATAATATGGTTTTACAAGTTACATACATATCATTTAAATATAAATAAACTTTTATTATAATTATTACTATAAACCAATTATACCAACCTAGTTTTTTTGCTGAAAGCTAGTGACTCGCGAGAGAATGGGATGCCTGATTATGATGGCTAGATACACATCCACGTTGCGATGCATTAAGTGGAAAGAAAAAAAAGAAGCATGTGATTTCTATTAATAGAAAGGAGAGTTGCCTATTATATATAATATAGAATAATATACCTATGGGTTATCGTTTTAAACACAAAAAATATATACATAAAAATTAAATAAAAAAACAATTATTTTCACAATTAGAAATACTTCATTAAAAAAAAAAAGTCTATGAAATACTTCAATATAGCTTCCTCTATTTCTATTGGTTATTTAACCAAAAACATACGAAACAACAAATTTGTGAAGAAAAACTAATTACATATTTTAATTGCTTATCTTTAGGATTGCAAAAAAAAAAAAATAATAATTGAGTGGGGAAAAGGATTCTAATCAAAATAAAAAGAATGTACTTTTTTATTTTAAATTTATTTTTTGAATTGTATTAATGCAATTTCAAAATATAATTAGTAAATTTGCTAAGCAGCTATATTCTAACACTAAGTCTGCAAACTAAGGCGCGCTGGCCAAATTCGGCCCGCCTACAATACACCTACAATCTGACCCGCCAAAATTTCATTGATTACATGTTGAAATTTTAAAAAATATTAAATAAAGGAAATTGCTCACACAAGAGCTTATTGCATAGTTTTTTCTTTCTCATAAAGCTCATTTCACCACTGAACTATCGTTTATAGACCAACTTTTTTTTTTCATCACAAGCCATGGACCGCGGGATGCGGAGATGGAGATCTCAATGCGGCTCTTGGCCAAACGTTTGGAGACCTGTTCTAACATGATGACAAACCAAGAAAATGTCGGAGAAATCTACTTATCAGACGCTTCAGAAAACTACTGGGACACAAGTCAAAAACCTCAGAATTTTTGTATGTATGGAGTTTGTAATTAATGAATATATAACTCCTTGTGGAAGCATGTGGGATATTATATTTTATAATATATTATATATTATAATCTTTCGATTTTTTTTTTTTTTTTTTTGACTAAATAAAGAACTTTGAGGATTACCGGAAATCTTTTTGTGGGTAAAGATTGAAGTTATGAAAAGCCCCATACTCTTTTGGGATCGAATGTTCAAAGACTAAATCATATGAAAATTGATTGAGGACAACTCATCATAGTTCCTAACTTTTGAATCATCTTCTCTAGCATACAAACCAAAATATTACATTTCTCAACGAAATGTACAAAATATTGAAAAATAAATAACTAATAATTCTAAAAAAAGGTTAACATACATCAATTTGATAATATAAATTATTTGTATTATATTTTGTAAGAAATAATGTTCACTACACACAATCAGATATTTAATTAACTCCGAATCGTGTGTTTATACGTGGTAAAATTTATTTGTTTAATCTAAAATTGTGTCTGATATTCGACAAAAAAAAAAAAAAAAAAAATGAAAACAAAAATCGTATTTTTAGAAGATCATAAAATTAAACGACAATTTACACAAAAAATCGTTTATAAAGTTAAAAAATATATATAAAAACGTAAGGCACTTAATATTTGCAGAAAAAAAACCTTTGGCAACTAGAAAAAACTTTTTTTACCGTTTTTGTTATATTTAAATAAAAATAAATAAGCAAAAGCAGGATGAAGATCCTTCCATAAAGTTAATTTATAGGATAGTTTCGATTAATTATAACCAAATTTAGCTAAAACCTAATAAATATCGTATAGAATAAAGTTGCAATTGAACTGGGCGTTTCCCTTCTGAAAGCTGTAGAAAATTACACCTTCCTTATTTTCAAGGTCTAAGTACAGTATATATAGTGCTAGAACCAGCTCTAGTGGCATAGTTACCTGCGGTAAGGGATCAACACCATTACAATATGAAATCCTTCTTAGTAAGTATTAATATTTATATTAATTTGTAGTAAGAATTGTAAACGCAAATTAAATAAAATGGCGTGTTTAAAATTCAAAATTAAAATATACCTAGTAATTCGTGGATCATATCAATTACCAAGAATCATGATAAAAAAAATGACATTTTGATTATTTGCATAGGTCTGCCTGTTTCTGGCTGGAGTTGCAGTCGCCCAACATGGTCATGGTTGGGGAGGATGGGCCGGTCATGGTCTTGTCGCTCCAGGAGTAGCAGCTCATGGACTAGTCGCCCCAGCATTGGCCGCCCCCAGTTTGGTAGCTCCAGCAGTTGCCGCCCCTAGCTTGGTAGTGCCAGCAGTCGCCGCCCCCAGTTTAATCGCTCCAGCAGTTGCTGCCCCTGGACTCATCGCCCCAGCTAGTGCTGCAGGTTCCCTGTACGCTGCCCCCACAGCAGCAGGCTCCCTCTACGCCGCCCCCACCGCAGCTGGTTCCCTCTATGCCGCCCCAAGTGCTGCTGGATCTGTAGTTGCCGCACCCACCGCAGCTGGATCAGTCTATGCCGCTCCTAGCGCCGCAGGTTCTATCGTCGCCGCACCTTCAGCCGCCGGTTCCATCGCAGCTGCCCCTAGTTCCGCTGGATCCATCGTTGCCGCACCATCTTCTGCTGGATCCATCGCTGTCGCCCCATCTTCAGCTGGATCCATCGCTGTCGCACCATCCCACGCAGGTTCAGTTGCTGCTGCTCCATCAGTTGCAGGATCAGTTGTTGCTGGACATGGCGCTGCAGGTTGGGCAAGTCATGGATGGGCAGGACATGGTCATGGTCATTGGTAAAATATGAAATTAATTTGAAATCTTAAAGGCTGATGATAAATAAAACGCAAAACAACTTTGTACAAAGCAATGTCTTCACTGTATTCACCTAGTTCCTTCATACATACATTTTATAGTTGAATATATAAACCATCAATTTAACCGATAACTAAACTTGATATGAATACATTTTATTGTAATAAACGCAATATAAAACGTTTTGAAAAAGCTTTATATATAAAAACATATAACGACATTGTATAGTTATATATTTATCAAGAATTTAACCTTTAAAGAAACTCAATTTTAATAAATCTTTTTCTGCCATAAACTGAACATAAAAGAAGTTTTAAAATGGATCTGCAAAACAATTTATTCGGATTTTTCTGCAGCGAAATTTTTCAAAAACATCTGATAAAAAAAAATATCGAAGATATAATAAACAGGGCAATATTATACATCATAAAATGTATTGATAACAATTTAAAACAATACATCATACCTCATAATAATTATAATAAGTACAACTTCTATTTTCCCTTTTATTTAGCTTTGAATCTGCAGAATATTTTTGCAGCTAACGTTGATAAAATTTAGAATAATATCCAATTTAGCTGTAGGAAAAATGAGTAAATTTAATGTTATTAATTAATTTTTTTTCTATTCCAACTCTAGTGACAATAAGTGGCTGAATACACCACATATGTACATAATTTGATTTATATATCGAACAAATTTTACTTATTGAGTAGGTACGTGAATATTTTCTGGTTTGACGACCGTTGCCATATCAAGTCTATTATCATAAAATACCTTGAATGATACCCATACTGGGGTGCCAAAGACAAACATGATTCAGTCTAACGCAAAGAGCTACCGTAATTTGTACGTTATATAGTTCCTAATCATACAGTTGATTTCTCACAAATAACAAGCAGAATGATTCTTTCTTATTAATATTTGATTCAGCATTTAAATTCCGAAAAAAAAGAACTATTAAATTAAAATCGGATAAGTATTAGGTTTACACCAATTAATGATTTCCGCTTGCTCTTTGAAGCTCATTTAATAAAATGCAAACAGACATTGACAACCAAATGGTTTTACAAATGTGGAGTTTAGTTCGATATGCTACAGTATGCAAGATAGTGACTTTGAGAAAATCGTGCAGTAAATCACTTGCTCAACAATTTTCAAAAATTAACTAATATTTTCTTCAACGGACGATATCGTATTTTTTATTTAAATAATAGCATAAAAGTTGGGTGAAATAAATAAAATCATTTACGTATATTAATCCTCAGGAAAAAACGATATCCAGGTAGATGTATAGATTAACATAGATGAATATTGCACCTAAAGCTTCTAGAAGCGTGAGAAATTAACATGAGACCTTATAAATGTCTATATTTTAAAAATAAAACAGAAAATCGACCTTCTATAAATTTAATTCGTATGGAAATCTATTTTTCATTACTTAAATATTCATATTTGCTTTATTATTAAAATGTTCTTACTCTAAATTATAAAATCATTATATTTTATTATACTATTTCTTATTATTTTATTATATTACTTTATTTATTTATTTTACTTAATATCGATGAAGGTCTTAAGCCGGATCTTCAGAACAATAAAATAAAATTTCTTTTTAGCGTGTTATTTCATCAACGACTAGTGCTGCCAGAATGCGAGACCGAGACGTGTCTTGGTCTTGCAAACTCAGTCTTGGTCCTGGTCTTGGTCTTGCGCAAGATCCTCGCATTTACTCATTAGCTTATTAATATAGAGATATTACTGTAATATTTTAGATAGTAGAAACCTAACTTACCTTGAATGAAAAATTTAGATTTACTGAAAAGAATGAATTAATATTGCCCGAGCTATAGTTAATTATTATGTTTTCGGTTGATTGGTTGTTTTGATGTTTGGGTGCGAAACATTCAGATCATCAGCGCCCTATCAACAAAATAATTCTACATCAATTTTTTGAATGGTAGGTTGATTGGAAGTCTTGCAGTTACCTATTGGCTTATTAATATATAGATATTACAATAATTTTTTAGATAGGAGAAACCTAACTAAGCCCGAATGAAAAATTAAAAGAGTTAAATGCAAAAGTATATTGGTTATACCAATTATTCACATATAGTAACTAAGATCAAGTATTATTAACTATTTTGCCTTAATTTTTATTCTGAGCTATGGGACTCCACCAAACCTTCAAATTCCTCTCGCATCCAATCCTCACAATCCAAAATCCTTCGTAAAATCCTCAATGCTCCTTACTTTGTTACAAATAAAATTATCCATAATGACCCTTATGTATCAGATTTGGCCCAATCCAAGATATCTGTCCTTCCATAATAAACTTCATAACCATCCCAACCATCTTGTTTCTAACCTTGCTTACTATTCAATTCATGATAACCCTCCGAGGCGTCTGAAAAGAAGATGGCCACGTGATCTCCTAATATAGACGTATTATTAGAGTGCTACCAATGGGTAGTTTCTCAACATGTGCTTCATGTAATTATATCCATGTGCGAATTTACCAGATGTATTTTTTGCATAAAGTTGTAAATATAATATAAATAAAAAAAGTAATAAAAAGATTTTATTCAAAAAATCGATTTTTTTTTACCAGTACTGGTCTTGGTATTGCAACTGTTAGGCGGCATTCGTATTGGTCTTGCAAAGTGCAAGACCGATTTTTGGCATCACTATCAACGACTGTATCCCCTCTTCCTCTCTTCCCCACCAAATTCTACGACAAAATGATTTGTGAATTTGTTTTTTTCATTTATCTGACCTTACTTTACAATACTTTCTTATTTTGTCCAAACTGATTTCATTATTTATTCATATGTTATAGCTAATAAAAGATCTGAATAAAACCGTAGGAAGTACACGAAGGTCGTCAAAGAAACCGCATAACCACGAGCACATAGGAGACCTTGCATGACTTTCACACTGAACTAGACACACTCCTGATCAAACGGGTTTCTAGAACAAAAAATACTATTTGAACCTATCCGTCCCCACGTCCAATTGGACATATATAGGAAACAATTCGCGCTTATATACTAAAAGGAAAATATTTTAATATAATTTTTTTTTTTTTATTGACAAAGAAAGTTTTAGGAACCGAAAAAGGAAATCAAGCAGGAGGAAGCAGCGTTTAATGTGATACGTATATTAAAACATTTAAATAACAAGGAATACATGGGATGCTAATTCGTAGTTATTTTTATTTTTAGTAAGACGTTTTACAACAATTTTCACGACTCACTTATTGGACATCCAAATCCCCTTGTACAGACATTACTAACAGACACACTACCACAGAATTCAACAAGAAGACTCAAACGGCTCTGGATCAGGGATCTGCTACATTAAGAAGAGTCAGTCATGTTAGGGTACCTTCGCTGGGAGGTTTCTCCAATCACGCATTCATGTTAATCCTACAGAGGAAGTTGAGGAATGATGGTCACATTTCCAATATATGCCAAAGGTATTTGTAAAGTTTTTCAAAAAATAAATTATCATTATTAAAACAAAAAAATTATTTTCAGTAATTGTTAAAAACTGTTAATTACTCAAGACATAATGAGATAGAATACATAATGATCTACATCAAATCAATCAATATAACTAAATGGGTTAAACAATTAAAACACATTTACAACAAATTAATATATTTATTTTTATTGTATTTTAAGGGTATATTAACTGATTAAAAAAGAATTTATAAGTACATTTTTGATAACTTCATACATTGTAATTTCCCAGTTTTTCAATCAATGTTTCAAGGAGTATAAATATTTATTCAAATTAGACATAAAGGTAATGCAGTATCTGCAAAAAAAAAAATAAATAAAATAAAATGATCCTGTTGCTTATATGATTCTGAAATGTAATGAGTGACGTCATATTAAGTAGTTTGAATCCTAACACACACGAAATATATAAATTTATTTTGTTCAATAAATGTCGTCTAATTTATCTTAGACCGTGTTATGAGGTTTTTAAAAAAAATGTTATTCATTTTATTGTAAAGAAAAAATAAAAAAGATTTTGAATCATATTTACTATTTAATACATTTAGATGTTTACCACCGTTACAACAATGACTGGAGTATAATAATTCGTCTCGTAACAAATTAAAAAAATTGCCAAAAATTAATTCAATTTTTTTTCAAATAAGATAACACAAACTCCTACAAATTATGGCAATATGCATCAGAGCAGTAATTATTCCTTCATACGATATGTACAGTCCGAAAACAAATAAAATTATTGTATTCAAAATATAAAGAGTGTCTCGTAAGTAGAGGGAAATATTTTAAAGGATGATAGTAGACATCACGAACTACGAAAAAGTTCATATAAAAAATTATTCGATTTCCTGCGAGGAAATTTAAGATTTTTTTTTTTAAGCGTTATGGTTTTTTGTTGAATAGGAAGCGAAAACTTAAGAAATAATTAATTTAAGTAATTTACAATTGCTTCATTGTAAACTAGATAAAATTAACCTTCAACGAAAATATAATTTATCATCGTTAAAACCAACTAAGGCGGACTTTTGAGTGGCTAAACTAAGCTAAAATCTTTTTTTTTTTAAATCATAAATTATTAAGGATTTTTTTTTTTTTTTTAACATCATACAACTTTTACGGAAACTTCTTTATTTAATAAACTTTAAGTCTGTATTAATTTTACGGAGGTTTTTTAAGGGAAAGATTCCGTTCAAGTTAAAAAAATTATCTTATTTTTATTCTCTCTGTAGAACCTGTACCATTAGAACACGTTCATTACTATTTAGGGAAAGTGCCCTACCACCATGGTCGTAGCCACTATGGTAAAATATAAACATTTAATAAATGTTATGGCACTGGACAATATTAACGCATGTATAAAACTTCATTAATACTTTTGTATAAATATGATGAGATAATAATATAGACATTTGTCTTCCTTGTAAGATAATTTTTAAAAAATCATGGTTAAAGGATAAGAAAAGAACTGAAAATCGAAACATTTTCCCTACCCATAAATATGTGCGCAGTCTCTGAAAATGTGTTGTTCTTAA